AACCATATTAAAAATTTCTTGAGTTTAATTTATAAATATATACTTTCGTGTAATTGTAATAGTTATTTATTATTAATATCATACTATAATCTTAAACTTAAATCACCCTGTAAATAAGTACATCTATTATGTATGTTTTATGTATATCGTATGCATATGTATAATATAGTATATGTATAATATGTATAAACTTCGTAAAGCGGTTCCTTTCTACTGTACTTAAAAGACTAGGGACTGTCGACCTAAGAAATCTTTCTGTTATAACAGCAAAAGGTACACCGGAAGCAACATTGCTATCTGTTTCCGTCACACTGGGAACATTCCGGACTTATAAACGCTAACAACTTTGTATACTTTTCGTCCATCTCCGTTACTTTGCTTTCGGCCATAATAAGGGCATGACGCATGCTTTCATATTCTTCTTTATATCTATGTAGATCCATATTTTCTTTTGATACTTGCTCGAACGTTTCCATATGACGTCTTAAGTCCTTGTTTTCTAATTGTAACTCTTGCACTATCGATCGAAGAGATTCGACTTCATTACCTAATCAAAGACAAATGAATTTCTTTTGTATTTTTGCACTCATGTATTGTTTGTTATTCTTCAGATTAGATTAAGTGTAATTGACGATGTAGGGTCTGACTTACTTATTGAAGCATTTTCGTTTTCCTTGTTAATTTTCATTGGTTCGATGTGGAACACACCATCTTCGTTTCTTTTAATAAACAATTCAGTTATATTTAGGTCGATGGGAATAGGTCCAGGCGAAGTTATATTCGTTGGAGGCCTATCTTCGTTCAAATGTAACGCTATATTTTTTAAGGAAACCTACAAAAATGCACAAAGTTTTATTAGATATTATGTATTTTGATAAAGCGATGTACTTACCACCATCGGCAGTGGTATGGGGTATATTTCGTCTTCGAAAAAGTCAGCCAAACCAGTTACCACGCTCATGCACAGGGTAAGATTTAAACCGTTGGCTTGAACGCTTAGAAAATCATCGAACAGTTTACGTTGAATGTCTTTGTCTGAGAAGTCAAGCTTTGCTATTTCGACCGGGTCAGGATCAATTTTTAATGTATGATCCAGTCTAAGCTTGATTCTGGCCAAGCCAGGGCGATTTGAAAATATTTCGGACCATACTTTCGTTCTCGAGTTAAATTTCGTCTAAAAAAATGTGTTGTTTTTGCTCAGTCTTTTACGTAGTTTAAATGTTTGAAATCTACTGCTAGATGCTAATTACTGATTCTATTGTACTCCATGTTACATGCGTAGCTGACTTCAAAACATAATACATTAAATTTATAATGACTCAATGAAATAATTTCTAATGATTATAATTTCTTAATAAACAAAAAAATAAATTACAGGAACAAAATTAGTTCATACTTGATCCGCAGATTATTGTATTTAAAATAAAATTATCTAATAATCAGGTTTCTATTAAAAAAAAAAATACATTTTTAAGGTTTTGTAACTTATATCAATACTAAAATGATCAAATTTAATAAGGTATTTTCACTTTTAGAAGTTACATATCACACAGTGCTTTAAAACTCTCAATTTTCATGCACAAATCTAAAAATCTATTCTACGATTCGTGCCCAAAATACAGGAGATGATAACCTGCTAATACCTTTTCGTTGCCCTGCGCCACATAAAACATTCAGATGCATGCACAAATACAGAGAAAAAAGTCGTGTAAGTCGTTGGCGAGTTATGTGGTGATGTGATAAAATGTAGCGATAACTAACTCAAGTTTAATAAATATTAAAAAAATTCAAGAACTGCACTGCGATAGATTAATTATTTACATTCAAAAAAAATAAAAACCATAAAATGTGAAATATAAGAAAGTCAATTATATAATAAATAATTTATAACATTTTAAGGTTTCCATTGAAAACTTACTTGAAACTCGTCCCAGGGTATCGACGAGCACTCGTCACTGGACATGTTTCCCACTTGTACTTTGATACTCGATGAAAAACCGTTCGACTGCTGAATAAACTCGACCTTATTTAACTTAAACGTTGCTACTGAAACCTTAAAGAACAACAACATTTTTATTAATTGGTTTTTATCGCAAAAAAGGTAGAAGATAAAAATTTTACTCACCAAATCTCTTCTCCTGTAACTACTGGTATAAGATCGTTCACTGATAGTTGTTAAACTGTCCTCTTCAACTTCACTGGCCACTTCAATCTGCTTGTTCTCTTCAAAACGATCGACATAGAACATTGCATCTTCGATTTCTAATTCTCTTCCAACAACACTAATTACCTCTAAATTATCTGAATCGCTCGATACATCGCTCTTGATCGACATTGTCTCGCTTGCATCGTCCATACTTGGCTTCATGGTACTTTCTATCATACTTTTTAAACTCTTTTTCATTGATGAAAATCCTAATGGGCCGACTACTATAATATAAAAAAAGTAAAAAAGAGCAATAGAAAGACATTATTAATGTTTTTTAGGTTTCTATTTAAAAAAAAACAGCTACTTTTGCCAAGAATATTATTGTTACTTGTTCAATTTTAACTTTAAATAAAATTCTGATTTGCTACCAATCTTATTGAATAAAAAGAAGTATAACAAACCCGCATTAAAATTTTCTGATATCTTTGTACTGCTATTGATTGATCCCTGATAACGAGTTGTGGTAGGGGTTGTTATGGGATTAACGTAGCTACCAGTGTCCATTTGAGGTTCTGCTATATCACTCTTCGAATTATTAAAATAGTCAGGACGAATTCCTTTCATATTGATATTCATTTTCATTTTCCCTATACTTCTATTACCAACACCGTTTGGGACTCGCTCCTTATACTCATTTTCCAAGATCGTAAGATCCCTATGTGGGAAAATTGTCGCAGAAGATCCTTAAAAGACGATAAGGTCTTTTTAAGTACATGCACCTCATCCACTCAAATGAGAGAAGCACTAACAACACTATAAAAATAACTGTGCTTAGGTTACTCACCTTGAAATGGCATGTCATCAGGAATACTAGACGAATCAGGAACAAACGATTCAACATCGCCACCTGACGATTCTTTCCCTGGACATTGTGAANCGAACCGAAATCATTAATAGCCAATACAAGTCATTATTTGGCTTCTTTAAAATCAACCATATTAAAAATTTCTTGAGTTTAATTTATAAATATATCTTTAATATCGATTTGTAATCGAGTACTTATTTAAAATCAGTAAGTAGCAACAGTCAATCATATTTAAGAAGTTTCAGGAGTTACACTGTTAAAAAAATACATTTGAACAAAAAATAGTAACCATTTTTTCAAACCGTTATAAATCACACACTCTTAAAAATGTTAAAAGCTTTATCTTTCATCTGATTTTTTAATATTTAGCATCTATTGTATTAACAGGGTAACTACCACACCTTAAAACACCATCGAGCGATATTTATAATTTTTTTTTTTAATTCAATAAAACCAACCGTTTCTTCGTTACCATTTAAAAATGCTTCATTATCTTTGGAATTATTGTTTATTTGTAGGAAACAATCTCATTCAATTCTCATGCCTTTACAACTATAATTTTCAAAAGGAAGTAATATATGAAATAGAGTTTTTTCGTTTATTTACATAGGAAAAGGATTAAATTTAATAATTCCTACAAATTTAAATTATTTCATCTTAATTATAGTTAACTATTAGAAAATTTGCTAAAAATTTTTACCCACTTTAACACTAACTATATAAGTAATAACGAACAGAAATTTTCGATAAAATCAACAACAAAAACATGAACACTCAATATTATAAAAAATATTTAAACTATGGAGCGTATCTACAATAATTTTCGTAATTGTTTGAGTAAAAAAATTTTTATGACAAAAAATTATTGAAAATAAACAAAAAGAAAAGGTTCCAAATCACGTCTTGTCCTGCATATTTTGTTGCATGAAAATATTTTTCAGTAATCAGTCTCTTTGTTAGTTTTTCTCTACGCATGGTTTATGTCAATTTTTCCCCTCTAGCTAAACTTTACAGGGTGATTTAAAGCGATACATTGTTTCTAAAAGGAAAGAACACAGAAATTAACTTTTGTATTACATTTACGAACCGAAATCATTAATAGCCAATACAAGTCATTATTTGGCTTCTTTAAAATCAACCATATTAAAAATTTCTTGAGTTTAATTTATAAATATATACTTTCGTGTAATTGTAATAGTTATTTATTATTAATATCATACTATAATCTTAAACTTAAATCACCCTGTAAATAAGTACATCTATTATGTATGTTTTATGTATATCGTATGCATATGTATAATATAGTATATGTATAATATGTATAAACTTCGTAAAGCGGTTCCTTTCTACTGTACTTAAAAGACTAGGGACTGTCGACCTAAGAAATCTTTCTGTTATAACAGCAAAAGGTACACCGGAAGCAACATTGCTATCTGTTTCCGTCACACTGGGAACATTCCGGACTTATAAACGCTAACAACTTTGTATACTTTTCGTCCATCTCCGTTACTTTGCTTTCGGCCATAATAAGGGCATGACGCATGCTTTCATATTCTTCTTTATATCTATGTAGATCCATATTTTCTTTTGATACTTGCTCGAACGTTTCCATATGACGTCTTAAGTCCTTGTTTTCTAATTGTAACTCTTGCACTATCGATCGAAGAGATTCGACTTCATTACCTAATCAAAGACAAATGAATTTCTTTTGTATTTTTGCACTCATGTATTGTTTGTTATTCTTCAGATTAGATTAAGTGTAATTGACGATGTAGGGTCTGACTTACTTATTGAAGCATTTTCGTTTTCCTTGTTAATTTTCATTGGTTCGATGTGGAACACACCATCTTCGTTTCTTTTAATAAACAATTCAGTTATATTTAGGTCGATGGGAATAGGTCCAGGCGAAGTTATATTCGTTGGAGGCCTATCTTCGTTCAAATGTAACGCTATATTTTTTAAGGAAACCTACAAAAATGCACAAAGTTTTATTAGATATTATGTATTTTGATAAAGCGATGTACTTACCACCATCGGCAGTGGTATGGGGTATATTTCGTCTTCGAAAAAGTCAGCCAAACCAGTTACCACGCTCATGCACAGGGTAAGATTTAAACCGTTGGCTTGAACGCTTAGAAAATCATCGAACAGTTTACGTTGAATGTCTTTGTCTGAGAAGTCAAGCTTTGCTATTTCGACCGGGTCAGGATCAATTTTTAATGTATGATCCAGTCTAAGCTTGATTCTGGCCAAGCCAGGGCGATTTGAAAATATTTCGGACCATACTTTCGTTCTCGAGTTAAATTTCGTCTAAAAAAATGTGTTGTTTTTGCTCAGTCTTTTACGTAGTTTAAATGTTTGAAATCTACTGCTAGATGCTAATTACTGATTCTATTGTACTCCATGTTACATGCGTAGCTGACTTCAAAACATAATACATTAAATTTATAATGACTCAATGAAATAATTTCTAATGATTATAATTTCTTAATAAACAAAAAAATAAATTACAGGAACAAAATTAGTTCATACTTGATCCGCAGATTATTGTATTTAAAATAAAATTATCTAATAATCAGGTTTCTATTAAAAAAAAAAATACATTTTTAAGGTTTTGTAACTTATATCAATACTAAAATGATCAAATTTAATAAGGTATTTTCACTTTTAGAAGTTACATATCACACAGTGCTTTAAAACTCTCAATTTTCATGCACAAATCTAAAAATCTATTCTACGATTCGTGCCCAAAATACAGGAGATGATAACCTGCTAATACCTTTTCGTTGCCCTGCGCCACATAAAACATTCAGATGCATGCACAAATACAGAGAAAAAAGTCGTGTAAGTCGTTGGCGAGTTATGTGGTGATGTGATAAAATGTAGCGATAACTAACTCAAGTTTAATAAATATTAAAAAAATTCAAGAACTGCACTGCGATAGATTAATTATTTACATTCAAAAAAAATAAAAACCATAAAATGTGAAATATAAGAAAGTCAATTATATAATAAATAATTTATAACATTTTAAGGTTTCCATTGAAAACTTACTTGAAACTCGTCCCAGGGTATCGACGAGCACTCGTCACTGGACATGTTTCCCACTTGTACTTTGATACTCGATGAAAAACCGTTCGACTGCTGAATAAACTCGACCTTATTTAACTTAAACGTTGCTACTGAAACCTTAAAGAACAACAACATTTTTATTAATTGGTTTTTATCGCAAAAAAGGTAGAAGATAAAAATTTTACTCACCAAATCTCTTCTCCTGTAACTACTGGTATAAGATCGTTCACTGATAGTTGTTAAACTGTCCTCTTCAACTTCACTGGCCACTTCAATCTGCTTGTTCTCTTCAAAACGATCGACATAGAACATTGCATCTTCGATTTCTAATTCTCTTCCAACAACACTAATTACCTCTAAATTATCTGAATCGCTCGATACATCGCTCTTGATCGACATTGTCTCGCTTGCATCGTCCATACTTGGCTTCATGGTACTTTCTATCATACTTTTTAAACTCTTTTTCATTGATGAAAATCCTAATGGGCCGACTACTATAATATAAAAAAAGTAAAAAAGAGCAATAGAAAGACATTATTAATGTTTTTTAGGTTTCTATTTAAAAAAAAACAGCTACTTTTGCCAAGAATATTATTGTTACTTGTTCAATTTTAACTTTAAATAAAATTCTGATTTGCTACCAATCTTATTGAATAAAAAGAAGTATAACAAACCCGCATTAAAATTTTCTGATATCTTTGTACTGCTATTGATTGATCCCTGATAACGAGTTGTGGTAGGGGTTGTTATGGGATTAACGTAGCTACCAGTGTCCATTTGAGGTTCTGCTATATCACTCTTCGAATTATTAAAATAGTCAGGACGAATTCCTTTCATATTGATATTCATTTTCATTTTCCCTATACTTCTATTACCAACACCGTTTGGGACTCGCTCCTTATACTCATTTTCCAAGATCGTAAGATCCCTATGTGGGAAAATTGTCGCAGAAGATCCTTAAAAGACGATAAGGTCTTTTTAAGTACATGCACCTCATCCACTCAAATGAGAGAAGCACTAACAACACTATAAAAATAACTGTGCTTAGGTTACTCACCTTGAAATGGCATGTCATCAGGAATACTAGACGAATCAGGAACAAACGATTCAACATCGCCACCTGACGATTCTTTCCCTGGACATTGTGAAGGCATTACAAAAGTCACTTCCACTTGTGGAATAACAGCACCAACGATTAAAGAACCCATACTATCAGTCTAAAAGTAATTAATCGATTTGGTTAGACATTGCCAGAGATTTTTGTACAAATTATTTTGAACTTACCTTCATGATCTTGTTAGAATCGAGGGATAAAAATGTCGTCATTTCGGCAACTTCTTCGGCCAATCTCAACAGAAAAAGATATTGATAATGATTGAGTTGAACACTAATAAGTGTTGATATGTAAGTCAACGCATGGATGTCAGCATGTTTTGCACCATTGTTCTCTTCGGACTTTACAGTCGAATTTGGGTCCATACAAGTGTGAAGCCAAATGGTAACAGGAACGGTGTCCAAAAATGGCACCGGCTTATTACTGCCCACCGCTTTTGCGCCCAAAAAGTCGCCCCAAACGGGTTCCAAATGAATGTTCCATACATCTTTTGCATCTCGCCAGAACAATTCTCTCGATAAAAGCTCCATCTTAATTAAATGAACGAATTGAATGATGTGTAAATGGAACGAAACTATGCTTTGTAATTCTTACCAAGGCATTTACTGAAGAATAGGTCATTTCTTCAGGCGTATTTCTTACGTTATCGTTTGTAGTAATATGATCAAGAAATTTTTGAGTTACTAAATAGAAGTCGCCGGATTTTGAAGGAAAATCAGATCCAAAAAATAAAGAACCTGAATGAAATGATTCGACACATTTGGCCAAATCGGCTCTGGATGACTGCTGTAAATTGCGAACATTTGTAATTGTAGCTCTTGTTACGTTAAAATGTAAAGATTTTGGTCTATCTCTCTGATTAGGATATTCCGCTGCACTTTCGAAAATTATCTAAAAAAAAGTACCTGTGTCCAGTGTTAAAAATCTTTAAAAACAATATGACTTACTTTTGGTAAAATCGCTTCGATTTTGACATCAACGTACGTTATATCTGAGCTCGAAGCCTGTTGTTTGGAAGAGAGCAAAGATTGATAGAGAGTAAGACCAAAAGAATTCAACCATAAGCATGTATCCACATCAAAATAGATTTGAATGGGATTGGCATGAACGTAAAATTTCGGGGGAGGTACTAAAACATTTGCATGTTTAAATGAAAAGTTTCGAAGAGATGCTTAATAAAATAACTTACGAGGAAAAGCAGTATCACTAGGATAGTAGAAGTAAATAAATTCCGCATGAAGTATGTTAGAATTTTCTGGTAAAGATATCCTGTCTTTGTCACCTAGCAAGAATACATATAAATAGGTAAGCATAATTAATTTTCTCATTTGAGAAACAAGCAAAAATGTTAAAGGTTCTAAATGTAGGAAACCGGCTACAGCCTTTTAAATACCTGCATTTTTTTCCTTCCTTTTAGACTGGACTGCATTAAAAAATTCAAGCATGTATATATATATATGTATATAAATGAATAACTGTGATGTAAAGTGTATTAAAACATTGTATTTCAAAGTTTACCTGAAATGAACACTTTTAGTTCAGGCCTTTTTGTGGGCGTGGTAACTTTATAAATGGTGAAATCGTCCAATCTAACGATCATACACGAAGTCATAAGTTTGCTGAGTTCAAATAATAAGTGGTCTCTTAGTTGATTTGCTTTGGGTTCAGAATGCACTACTGTCCAACCTTCTGGGCCCTGATCATTTGGCTGATGATTTATAAAACTAGTTTATTATAAGTTACATTTAAAACTAAAATACGGGGATCCCTTACTGAGTATTTAACACAACCACATCTATTGTCACAAAATTAACATTTATTGTTAAAAGCTACCTGAGAACAGTTATTACGAGTGTTTGGAAGTAGATAAGAAGGAACATCAGTATTTGTTATTTATTGCTGTTATGCACAATAATAAATTAAGATTTTGGGATTTTTCTTAGACCCTATGAAGCATACCTTAGCAGATCTGCTCAAAGGAGTATGTTGTGTCTTATTTCGCCCCACAAGGTCAAGTAATTCCGTTCGAAACTTCGACATAGCTTCAATAAACCACTGCACATGAGGGGTAACTTCTTCCCTATAACCAGGCCAGTGTTTGCGATCACTTTTTGCTAAATGGTACGGATAATAATCAACTTTAAACTTGTTAACAGTTATTTGTAATGCACCACCCTCTTTAAAATGTGGATGACAAGAACGACCATCTTAAAAAAAAGGCATTAATAAGAAGCAAGGAAGAAAAATAAAATTTCTTACCCCCCACATCATCACACAGATGTAAAACAATATGCTGGGTAACAAAATGATATGAGGTTTCAACTACGTCAAATTTTGAGAAGACTTTTGCTGCGTTTGAGTGACCAATATGAGACTTGGACTGCTGTGCAACTTGAGCCTGATATTCTGGAAGCTCCTGAGTGAAAATAATAATAAGCTGACATGATGTTATTGTCTAGCTTGTAATGCAAAATTAACAGAACAGAAAAAAAATATAATAGCAACCTCTAGTTTACGAGCTGCCTTAACTTTTCTTGCTAAAAGTGTAGATTTCTGAACTAGTCCAGCCAAAGAATCAACGAATTTCAAGGCGGCTTTTAGTTGTGAGTCAGTTAAGACCCACAACAGGTCATCTAATATCACAACCATGCGAGAACCGATAATAAAACAATCTGGAAAATATTTTCCCAGTTTCTAGTTATGGTTTGTAAATACAGTTTTTTACCTGCCAGTCTTTTCTTAATAGTAATTCTACACCACGCCTGATTAGTTAGCAATCTAATGGGAGTTAAGTTGCTGTCCTTTGTAGATTTAGCCTCGATCCTAACAGTTTGCCATGTTAATTCCTTAAAAATAAGGAGCTGACCTTTGTCAGGCTCTTTTAGGCGAGACATTCTCAAATCGCATTTGCGCCATTTAGGATCCCTCGACTCTAGCAATATTCTTGAAACCTATTAATTATAATAAACAGACAATTGATTAATTCAATTTCAAAAATTTAGAACATGAGACTACAAATGAAAATAGGAACCAGGAAGTTTCTCCTTTTTTATCAATGAAATACAACGATTTCTTGGCTTTAAGTGTCTATCATAAATCATTAGAGAATTGTAAATACCTGTACAGTAGCAGTAAACGCTGGACTGTTGAACACAATATTTACTGTATTAACAGTTACTGTGATGCCATCAATCACTTTATGAATAAAACTATATTTGCCTGGGACTGCAGCATATGAAGATAATCCTGCTTGAGGTGACATAGGTCTTAATTCCTCACATGTTTCTACTGTTATATTTACTTCATCTAAGCTCTATAATTTGTTTCATTCAATGCATTAAAAGCTAATCCCAACTGTTTAAAAAAATAGTACATCTCCATAATTGAATTTTAAAATATACTTACCAGAACTATTGGAACGCTTTTTAACTTAGTCCATTGAACTCTAAAAGAAACTTTATTTGATCGAGCTTTTGTAAGTCTTAGCCATGAAGGAAGCTCAAGTAAATCTGTAAGTACTTCTTCATTTAATTCCAAATTTTTTAATTCGCCTTCTCCTTTAAATGTGCTTAGATTTATTTTATCGGCAGATAGGTTTTTGGTAAATCTAATAATGCAATTAATGTAAACCACAAGGAACAATTTAACTCTAAAACCAATTTTCTGTTACCTTGATAAATGCTTCAACAGTTGGTTTTTTATTATGGAAACCATTTTTAATAAAACTACACTAAATCTACTGACACCACAAATAGATTCTATTATTACATGACTAGATAAATTACAATCATTGTTTATTTAAAAATACAACATTTTTTAATCAAAACCAACCGGAGACATAATGCGACCAGCTGATCATCTATCCAGCTGACAACTGACAGATGTTAACTATTATCTATGATGTTAACTTAGGTTATTTAAGTTTTAATCTAAAGCATTTAGCCCACGAATTTTTGAAGTAGTATTTGAGTTTGGTCTCCACAATCCTTTCTCTTTTATTTTACTTATGAGAAAAAGTATAAATTTATTTTATCAGAGAAATAAATAGCTATTCCCACTTGTATTAATCTATGTAAGGCAGTCACTTTCTGACGTAAAAATAAGTAATCCATGTTGTCTGCAAATATTGTAGCATCATTAAACTTTTCTTTATCGGATTGCAGAACTATAAAGTAATAAAATTTCAGTATTCGTGAATGGTAAAATCGTAATAACGAACAAAAATTTTCGATAAAATCAACAACAAAAACATGAACACTCAATATTATAAAAAATATTTAAACTATGGAGCGTATCTACAATAATTTTCGTAATTGTTTGAGTAAAAAAATTTTTATGACAAAAAATTATTGAAAATAAACAAAAAGAAAAGGTTCCAAATCACGTCTTGTCCTGCATATTTTGTTGCATGAAAATATTTTTCAGTAATCAGTCTCTTTGTTAGTTTTTCTCTACGCATGGTTTATGTCAATTTTTCCCCTCTAGCTAAACTTTACAGGGTGATTTAAAGCGATACATTGTTTCTAAAAGGAAAGAACACAGAAATTAACTTTTGTATTACATTTACGAACCGAAATCATTAATAGCCAATACAAGTCATTATTTGGCTTCTTTAAAATCAACCATATTAAAAATTTCTTGAGTTTAATTTATAAATATATACTTTCGTGTAATTGTAATAGTTATTTATTATTAATATCAAAGATAAAA